GCATTTGGAATGCTGTATACGTTTACCGATCAATTAAAACGTTTTTTTTTAAGACAAATTTATCCTATGTGTTTGCATCGTTGATCTTTTTTAAAGAATTACTGGTAAACAGACTTTCTTTTGAAAAGCTAAAGTGTTATTGTTCATTTGTATTAACTTGAACATATAAGACAATGACTAATTTTTCGTAGCTCAGATACAGTTTTATAGAATATGCTGTTAAAATTGTAAAAATGATCTTCAAAGATTCCTTTATGTTATCATTAAATAAGCCCAGGGTTGTATTTTATTAATCAAAAGCCAAATAATTATTATTTCATAAAATTTAAATGTAATTAACGAAAACAAATTTTAATGCAAGAAGTTGAAATTGAAGTCAGACAAAATTAAAAGGATTGGATACATGTATACACTGGAATAAGACGAATAAAATGTTTGTTAGGAAGGACAGATAAGACTGTTCTCTGATACTAAAAAAGGCAATTAATCTTTTGAATAATTCTTTGATCTGAAAATGTTTACTGAAAATTACTGTTTTATCAAATTTTCCTCTTGATTAGTAGGTGCAACAATTCTATTGCCACTGTTGTAATCGTTGTAGTCGTTGGTGGACTTTCAGAAGATTTATTTTTCATTTTCTAAAAACCTACCAATTTTCACACTTATTCAGGTCACGTTTTTCTCAGTTCTTTTATGTACTTTGGAAACGTTCATTAGCTAGTATTTTTGTAGACCTATATTATCCCTTTGACCGCGGTGTAAAAAATTTTTGGACATTTAACAAGTCTGCTGCTAAAAACATAAATTTATCACTAATCGATCGATGCGGTTTTGCGCAGTGCGAAAAAAATTACCAATATCAGGTTTTATACTTATACAGTTGCTCTAACCAAAAAAGGGTTTTTCTGATTAATAGGAAATAAGACTTACTGATAATTTAACTGTTGCGTGTCATCTGTTTTTTTTTTTGCATTCATCTTTATTGGTGATCGCAACAGTCTAAGTATCGTTAAACAGTATACAGGAGTACTGATCGACGTGAAA